TTATCGTAGCGATGGTACTTGAATTCGAGACAATTTTGTTCAAACTTCAAACACTCATAACTTCGCTCAATGTAAGTAATTTGACTGAAATTTTCAACATATCGATTTTTGAACTATTATAGCAAGAACGGCCCGCACTTTATCTAAATCTTATATAATGCATCTTTAAGTAACATGTCGACGAAACGTTAAAAACCAATCCATTCAATTTTAAGATGTATTATAATTATTATGACAGTTTGTTAAATGGGTTTTTATCATTGACAAATAATACATCTTCCTCGTGCCTTAAAATTGATTATATTTTAAATGCTAGACGCCTTGCCTCGTACATTTACCACCAAATGTGTTGACGATGCTGTGAGCTGTAATCCTTTACTTGTCATATTATGAAAATATTCTTAAATGATTTATAGACATCGACCTTCAATAACTCCTTGGTCTTTCCTAAACGTGATTACAATTTAACTCTGGACTCATCGAACCCCACTCAGCTATCTGTTTCAATGCCTCATTGACTGACATCTTGATTGCGTTGTCTGAAATTAAGTTAGTTAATAAAGCTAAGCCCATTCTTCATAATGTCATTTCATCAATAGCTAGAATAAGCAGCAGGCGAGACGTTTATGAATATGGACAAGTTGTCTTTATACGTGTTCGTTATAGGCGGTCAAACAAAAATTCGTTATCTTGGACAAGCTACAAAAAAGTTGGAAAATACTAAATAAGATCTTTATTCCTCCAAATGATTGAGAAAATTAACAGTATAAGAAATCATTATGAAGGTTACTGCAATGATCAGAACTAGTTACTCTTGAATATATTCGGAAACAATACAAAACTGCGGAAATGCACTGCTGTTTTTGTTTGAGGTAACCAGTGTATGTTAATAACATGCCAATTGCCTACACATGAACATAAATAGTTTATATGGGCGGCTTATCCGACGGCCCCATTTCACTCGCAAAGAGATACACTGTCAAAAGTGAAAATGGACGTTTTTGATGCTCCACCAATCCGCAGACATTCAGCAATTCGTCGTGGCATGCTCCTAATCAACCGTCCAATCACGATTTGGGGCAATCTGATACACGCCTTTTGCAGGGCCACGGCCAATTCTTGCTGTGTTGTCGGTTGACGTTGACGTTGACGTCGACGAACACGTCCGAAACATTCTCTATAGGGAAAAGGTCAGGACTCATGGCTGGCCAAGGCATGGAGAAATGGTGAGGCTGGAGGTAGTCATTTACGAAACGAGCGTGGTGGACACTGGCATTATCATCTTGAAAGATGAAACGTCGACCTGCACGTTGAGCAAAGGGCAAAACTATCGGTGCCAGGATAGTACACACCAGTGAACATACTCTTAAAGCATGTCAAGTGTCCATGACTATTTATCATGTCACAACCTGCATAGGTATTGGCATTTCAGTATCTCCTACTTTTTTGAAGGGTATATAATTAAACTTATCGGTTACCTTCAAATCATTCTCAGTGATTACCTCTTTGTCTACCACCACATTGTTTGCAATGATTGTTATCGAATCTTTCAAAATGGTTTATGTTATCGAATCTTTCGAAATGGTTTATGTTATCGAATCATTTTCAATGATTTATATTATCGAATCATTTGCGATGATTCATGTTATCGACCTGTGTGTCATGATCTATGTTATCGAATAGTTCGCATCATTATCGAGTACGTTATCGAATTACTCGCAATGATTTTATGTTATCGAATCGTTTTCAATGATTTATGTTTTCGGATCATTTGCAATGGTTATCTTACGTGTTTCATCATTTTAGCCGTAGATGACCCCGTTACAAATGACAACAAGCGGCTTTTATATTCAGTGAATATGTTTGAGGAGTTGTAAACAATTATATGCATGTTCAATTAATTGGATTTTTAAGGATGAATTAAAAATAGAAAATATTTTAACAATTAAATCCTTATATATTACACCTGCCGTCTAAAATTTAAAATAGAAATTTGAAAGGAATTAAAGTCGGGAAACATGAGATAATTAGTGATTTCTAATGAAAGAGGACACGATGTGAAGTAGTTAAAAGTGACTACAAAATCCAATTTAAAAATTATATCGGCAACATTGAATAGAGAATTTTACTGACTTCCGTTTTGTCCTCAACAAGAGCATCTGGTGTCACAACAGACAATGTATTCTTTTCAACAATACTTGGAGCTTTTCTTTAAAATGCTTTATAAATAACGTCGTAGGTCCATTGTCTCGTTTTACTTATAACGCCCATGCGCTATCATGTTAACGGAGATTTTCCTTATTTAAATAACTGTTGAAAGATATTGTTTAGATAGTTACGAAAACGAGTTATATGCCATCTGGATCTCGATGTGCATGGATAGAAAGTAGTTGTTCGTCTCTAGCAGGTTAGCGTTCTAAAGCAGAAAAAGATGACGTCGTAAAGCAATATAAAGCAATGGTAATAACTTCCTTATACATTGATCGGTTTCAATATTTGAACCAACAATGCTTTTTGATATAAGACTAGTGATGAATGTGCAAAGTCTATAATATATGCCTTTTAGCCTGGAGTATTTTGGCCTTTAAAGCTGTAATAGCCATTTTGAGGATGCAGAGCGCTGTAATTCTTTTATGTTTTCTAATATTGCAATTAGTTATTAATGTGATCAAAGTGATTAACCGAACAGTTGTAGTGATCGTTTTGGAAACGTAGGAAAGGTATGCGTTTACATCTATTTTAGGAATATTAAGAGACCTGCATCAGTGGGCATTTGTTTATGTTTTCTTGCACTGAAATTGATTAATCATGAGTGCGGGCTATTTATATTGAAATTAATTCTTCTTATGAAATAGTCCCGACATGTTTTCTTAGACAAGGTTAAACAAAATCTATTTTAATCCTTCTCTTGAAATGTAATCAGAGCTATATAAATCCCCTTTTACTGAAATGAAAAATGTCATTTTGAGACGGGCATAATTATTAATTGAAAATGATATCTCTGTTGTTACGTCCATCTACTCTTCTTCGTTTACCAACTATCAAGGATTATTTTACGCTCACCGCAATGTGTACACGGTGGACCTAGGTTTTTCATACAATCCGACCGACTAGGCACGCTTTCCTATTCAGCCTCAAAGGCACCACCACTGACTAGTGGAGGGTCTTCTTAAAACATTCTTGTTTCAAAACCCTGATCTGTAAATAATCAGTGAATATAACAACCAACATGCGCCTTAGAAACTGTTATTCAGTATTAACGCGCTTTATAAATGACGATATTATTATTATTATTATTATTCCCAGCGAATGCCAGCATTCCAATTTCGGACTTCCTCGTCGAGAGTTAAGTCGACCCCCCCCCCCCCCCCGGTAATGAGCACACGTAGAACAGACTAAAATAAAATACGGTGTATTAATCCTGTAACAAATGATCGCAGTGTTAGCGAGCAACCCTATTTATAATCAATTTCATATTATTTAGTAAAATAGTAATAAGCGAATTGGTGGTTTCATTATCGTGAGCGAATTCCTGAAAACACAAAAGGCCAAGTTAAACAAAACAGTAAAATGTTTTCTACACCACTTCTCGCCAGATTAGGAAATCCGTGGTGATAGCTACATGTCGTGAATGAGCAACTGTTAATTTGATTGACGAAGATTCAATATTTTCTAATGTCGACATGTTTAACTTCCCTTCAACAGAAGTTGTTTTATTCCTAGTTGAGCAGTTAAGTCGCGGATGCAAATACCGTTTTTCCGTCATCTTTATTCAGCTCACGTTTTAAGACTTTGGCTCATGTATCAACACGGTTTCAGCGCGACTTGAAAACTCAATATCATGCTTTTGTAGCGGTTTAACAAGACCCTAGGTACCGGTGGTAATATCCTGGCAGATTTCCCAATACGTCTTGTAACAACTCATAGAATTCATATAGTTTATCCCATTCTGCGACTAAAAAACTACCATTAAACCTCGAAGAGAATCTATCCTGATCTCCGCTCGCTGTTTAAGTGGACTCGAGAGTTTTCAGATGGAAGTTGGCGGTGATTAAGTCTTTGTGGCGGTTTAAGAATGGATTGACGCGGATTTGATGCCCATTATACCCTTGCCGTCGGAGATCAATGCCTATCATTTAAATATTCAATAAAAGGCCAATCGAAGACTTTATGGGGTTGGTGTGATTCCCAAGAAAGAGGAAATTTATCCTATTGAAATTTCTTTTGCATATGCTCCTCTTTTAAGTGTTTCTGAATGCTTTTTCATCCGCGAAAAGCCGTCAGCAAAACCTAAAAACGGCATCTAATGATTTACCAAGGTCGGTTTATTGGCCCTTGATTCATAAAAGAACGTCTTTGATATTTCATCAGTGAGATGTGAAATAACATGACGGGGTGGATTTAAAGCATGAATAGGCCATAGTCGAGTACAAGACCTTCTTCACTTAAAGGTCATCCCAGGGGAAATCGTTTAATTGGATACACATGCTTGTCCAACGTCGTAAACATAAGCACAGAAATCAGTCTGGGTTCCTCAAACCTGTCCATGATTTCCAGGTTTATGATTTATTTTTTTTTTTGATTTTCTTTTACGGAGACAGTTCCTTGGTACTTACTGCAAATCGAATACATTAGATACAGATCTCGCGACAAGTAGATATCCAGGGGTCGTATGCATGAAAATTATAATTGAAATATTTTAAAGATAAAACTTTTTCATTGGCTGAAAACTCAAATGATTAGCTCTGCTATCTTTTTTACCGAACCGCCATCACTTCGTGACGTCATATAGATCTTGACGTCAAAACCATTTTTTAAAATTCCTTTTCATCTGTTATTTTTTATTATCATTTCTATGATGTTTTAACATTATTTTTCATACGAAAAGAAATAGGGCTAACGAGTTATGAAAATATCAAGATTGTGTAAGTATAATAGTTAATTGTTCATATGTAGCCATTAATTTTCTTTTCTTGCTAACTATGTTTATTCTGTTTTAGATATTAGAAGTAAACCTAGAGCCTTTGACATCGTTTGACGTGAACCCTGTTATTATAATGTGTTTTCTCAATATATAAAAAACCGGAGAAATTAAATTGATTTTTTGGTAATTATAGCATTTAAAAAAATCGAAACGGTTGACGTGTGGATCAATAGGTCAATGCAAACAATTAGTAGGATTTCTAGTTAGTACTGGTTGACAGATATCTGAACAAGGACTGTTTCACAAGTCCAGCTTTTAAAAAAAAACGTATTCATCCCACCCGTTGGCGTAGGAACAGGGTTACGGTAAGGGACTTAGCTGAAATACACATTGAAGAAATTATGAATGGATATTCTTAAGGAATAAAGGTGCAGTACATAGTTTACTTCTACGATACTCTTTATCGGTGGAGTTTGAATACTTTCTGTGAAGAGAAGATCGACATCCTCAGTTCAATTTTGGAATAAATATAGATTTCATATTTTACAAAAGAAGCGTAAAGGAAGAGCAACTATTGTTGACATTTCAAAACTGTTGTGCCAAAATTTAACCTTACAGTACAGTTAATGTGACTTGTGAAGATGGTGTGGATGCTGCTCGTGTGTTATATATTCTGCTTATCTTGTGTTAATTCCGACTTCCACGCACCTTGTTATGGATGTCGTTTGTTTAATATACATCACAGAGAACACCCTGAAGAGAAGGGAAAGGTAAGTCGACTTCAAGTACCAGTCTTCCAGCACACTATCCATTCTTCCAGAATATGGCATGTTCTATGAAACAATTTTACCCTGACATTTTCAAGAATTCCAATTGTCAAGGTTTCGTATGCCAACGTGAACACGAGTCCTTCGTGTTTTCGTTTCACTCGCACGGCTAATGCCGTACCTTGTCCCGCATCATTGCCCCACTGACAATAGAAACCACACCGGAAAATCCCGAGGAACTTTTTCGGCCAACACCGGGTTCCAACCATGAGGCCTCTTGGCTTTTAAGACAGTGGCTTTCTTACTCTTCCTATGTGGCACGCTCTTACCAAAGAGCATATCGGTCTAAAATATTAAAATCAACCAACATATCTACGAATATTGTATTTAAGGTGGTATCCAACTTAGGCCATGTATAACACTTATAATGTTGCTCAATTTAAATATGGAAAATGCTTATTCGCCTTCTGTCGCAGTGTACGCTTAAAAACCACATTCAAACCGAAACTAATGGCCAGTCTTAATTATTATTATTATTATTATTATTATTTATTAAAATATAACTTCTAATAGAAGTAGTTTATATATCGTAGGTGGTATAAACATCGATAAAAAACAACAGATATAATCAGACTCTATTTAATAATGTGGACCTAAATAAATACCCTTTTTAATGTATATTTTTTTTATCATAAACAACAACATCATTATAATATTTATATCATTGGGATTTTAGTGCTATGTCAAGTATCCATGTAACCATATGCGACCCTGGTTGACTTTTGGTTAATTGTAAGTTATTCTAGAATCTTGGCCTTTTATAGATGTATAAAAGTTCAAATAGACATGTATTGGATGATAATACCTTTGGTTGATTGATGGATACTTCTAATATATGCTATAATTTAAAACAATATATTATTTTTAAAATCTCATGGATAAAAAAATTACCCGAAGATTCAGGCGTGTAATGGATTTAGTTTTATCCTGGTTGAAAGCTGGTGTTCTGTTTTAGTTCAGATTTAAATTGTCTTTTTTTCTTTCAAAACTCGAGAAAGAGTAAACCACCAAAGTCCCAGCATCTACGGGACGAAAAATGAAAATAAGTATTTCAGTATTCGACATAGATTGTTGTTAATCAATCTAAAAATTCATGAAATCAGAAATACAAGTTTGTAAATTATAAAGGATTTCCCTCTTTGTAGTATTTTGGTAAAATTATTATCTTCGTGTTTTGGAGTCTAGATTTAACGTTCTTTTCTAGAAACATATTAAATAAAATGTACAGCTCACAATGTCTAACACCTATTGGGAGCCACGGTGGCTAAGTGGGTAAGATGCTGGCTCGCTAGTCCGAGGGTCGACTAGAAAGTTCATCGGGATTTTTCTGACAGGGTTTTCCCTTGTCAGTGGTGCAGGACAGAGGGCCTGGCAAGGACAGCTGTGTAGTCGTTTGGATGGGCGAAAAAACCAAGGTCCCGTGTATACATTGGGGTGCACGTAAAAGATCTCTTGGCAGTTGGAATTCGATATAAGTGTAGGCCATAGTGCCGCTGCCCTGGAAAAATTTCCCTTATAGCACACTGCATAGCGTAAGCCCGTCTTCATTAGCTCAGTCGGAGCAGAACAGTAGGACGTTAAATTTCATTTCATTTCATTTCTAGTCCTTATTAAAATAAATAAATAAATGGAAAGGTTAACGTTGCTAATTACAATTGCGAATATATTTTAAAGGAACTTGATTAGAAGATATCCAAGGGTAACGAGGATTTGACATGAAATATTTTCGTAAACCACAAATCAAAATATTGTAGTAAACCCCAACTGATAAACTATTTTAGTAAATCACAACTCATACACTGTTTTATTATATGGAGTAGATTTCACCCACTTCACTAAGGAAAAAAATCATACAGAATTCCAAATTGAAACAAACGTCGCTTTCTCAGATATATTGCACAGTCTTTCAGAACCAAACATAACAAGTGTCAAGTGATTGATGATAGTCTTCTGTACCGTCTGAGAATTCTTTTGTTTGCTTCCAAATAGTGTTAAATGGTACAGAAAAGTTAAACGAATGAGTTGCGGTGTTGTCAGGAACAACGAGGTTTTATATCCCGTGTGAGTTAGCTCATTTCATTAGGCTATAGTGCCCTGTCAATACCATGGCTATTAATCACCGAAAAAAGGCATACTTTGTTTGACGAACGAATTGATAACTTTATTTGTTTACTTTAATTTCACACTAGCCATAATAATATATCAACGATCCCCATCGTTAAAAATAAAAGGAAATGCAAAACTGGCTGTAATTTATTATGTTCTGTGCTGTTTGGTGCAAAAGACCAATCAAGAAAATCACAAAATAGTCCACATGGTGTGTCCGCTATTCATCATTATTTTTTATTTATTTATTTCTTTTCCCCTTTGTTTGTTTTGGGAGTTTTTACTTTGGGATTACCCATTCCGGCCCAATCCGATCCTCAATATATCTGCCAGATAAACTGATTGTACTAGCATTTTATATTAACTACTCGCCCACCTTCAGTATTCTCTATTTAATAGACAGCCAGTTTTATGCAGTTTTGATGATGATGTAGTCTTTGTGTATGGTGCTGTTGATGACATTCTGTAGGTCACAGGTCAGCGTATAACAAGTTTTATGTGCTCGTTCAAATATCGACCCTACTGCGCTGAGAAAATTGACTGGATTACTTGAGTAATATTGTCTTCAAAGCCAGGGAATATCAATAGCGCCTTTTTCTTTTACAAAAAAAGAAAAAAAAATCATTTCACAAATCTAGTCCTTTTTGTTTTATTTGCATACTCCGCCGCATATCACGAAACCTATTTTATTCCAAATGGTTTCGTTCACGATACAGCAAACGAACTTTAAACTAAGCGGGAGTATTCATTTAGGACATTATGAAGAACCATGTCGAATTTTGGAGTTTATAATGTTACATTTATAAGATTAGTTTCTATTTTCAATTAATATCCATAAACGTTTTCAGTTTTTAATTTTGTCTTTTATTTTTATTTATTTTTGTTTTCAGTTTTAATTTTATTTTCAATTTTAGATTTGCATTTTAAATTTTATATTTTATTAAAAAGTTTATTTAAAATTTTAGATTTTATTTAAAATTTTAGATTTTATTTAAAATTTTAGATTTTATTTAAAATTTTAGATTTTATTTTAAATTTAAAATTTTATTTTAAATTTAAAATTTTATTTTAAATTTAAAATTTAAAATTTTATTTTAAATTTAAAATTTTAGATTTTATTTTAACTTTTAAATTTTAGATTTTATTTTAAATTTAAAATTTTAGATTTTATTTTAAATTTAAAATTTTAGATTTTATTTTAAATTTTTAATTCAGTTTCATTTTTGTTTAGTTTATTGTTTTAGTTCATACCATGATAAATGTTCAATGTCATTTCTCCACTAGAGTGTCTTGAAGATAACTATTGATGAAACAATCAGCACTCGTATTATATTGACCCGTAAACCATATTGAAAATTCCCTAGTGATCGTTATTATATATTTAATAACAGGGTGCCTCGTGTTTATGACTTAAAAACGTCTTCATTATATCGCATAAACATACTAAGGCTGTCCAGATTTAATAACATAGCCATGTCTTACACTTCATGAAATTTGACGAAGATTATTGAAGATTTAATAATTAGACGGCATTCAATACTTATAGCACACACAGCCCAAAAGAAACGCACAAAAACCAATATCCTATTGTTGACTGCTTCCTTTATGACCTGTTGTTAATAATCTCATAATATTTCTACGTTTCATTGCTAAAAACTGGTGGCTATGAAAGTTATCTGCCCCTTGAAATGCACGCTGGAAAAATCAGCTCGAACTAAACTTCAATTGGGTCATCGTTTCAAAATCAAAGGTACGGTATATATAGGGTCAATGGATCGATACCCTCTAAACGTATTTTTATCCGCAATTATATTTGTATAACCAGGAAAAACTAAATTCTTTACTGGAATTGCCGAATAAACCCACAGTGAATTGAAGAAGTTGTTATTACACGGTGCCACCCACTACGCCTGGGCACTCGCGCGTCACTAGGTTACTCTAGAACTAGCTAGGTTACTATGGAAGATTTAATCACAAGGCTTTCTTTAATATGACTTATTATAAATACCAGGACCATAATTATTTCTCTTTATTTCAATTATGTCGGGTTTCGGCTCATAATAGAATTTAAATACAGACGGAAAAAAAATAAGAATAGTAGTAGTATATTGTGGGTGTGTTTATGTGTACATTTCACATGTGCGTTGAATAGTTTCAAGAACTGTGTATCTCAAGATGTCCATGGTCAGCCTAATACAAGCTCTGCCACATACAGCTTCATCTGTGATAGAAAGCCTTCGGGCCAAAATTTGGAAGAAGGCAGAGCCTGGCAAAATCTATGATGACCCTGGATCAACCCAAGCTGGTGTTTGATCAGAGTCACCCCTTTTGAATTGCATACCACAATGAACTCTGTGTCCTTACATTATATTGTGTCTAGAATTATTTATATAATGATCATTACAGGGAGATGAGTGTAGTCTACTGTTTTTGACCGATTTGTCATGTAAGTGGAAATTTCATTCGATTTGTTTAATGTAACTGTCGCAGCCGTATGCACAAAAAAAGAGTATGGGACGATTTGTTGAATGACGTTTAAGAAAATGGAATTTTATGAGCCTCTGGATAAGTTAGAGATTCAATGTTCCCATGGGGACTGTAAATAACTGTTTGATAACTTTGGCAATGAAATCTATCACAAATAATCGATCAACTAGAAAATACCGACAGTGTTTATGATATCCAATTCATGTATTTTAAACTCAACCCACGGAATATGCCAGGGTAACTAACTGGCGTTTATGTGGTAAAATAGTATTTTTTCTGCGAGATCTTGCACACATTTAAACATCTAAAAAAACAAATATCCCCGCAACTAAAAGAACGATGTTGGTACA